ATACCAAGGGGAAGAGCGGGCTCTGCCCGCTCTTCCCCTTGGTATACTCCTGAATTGAGGGCGATGAAGCAGGTTGGGAGATGGCTAGAGCGTAGGTGGAGGAAATCACTGATGAATCTGACCGAACACACTTGAGAGCCCACTATCGGGCCTATGCTGTGGCGGTGAGGGCAGCGAAAAAGAGATTTTTTTCCGCTTCCATTGCCTCCTCACAATGCTGTCCGGCGGAGCTTTTTCGAGTAGTGCAGGGCCTGGTTTGTCCAGGTCCGAAAGAAGACCTGGTTCCACCCTCAAAGGCCCGCTGTGACGACTTTGCCAGGCATTTCAGGTAGAAAATCGCTCAGATTCATCACGAGCTGGATTCCACTATTGATACAGAGGTTTTAAGGGAGATGCCAATGCCGCCATCTGGTCCAGAATTATTGGATGAATTTCAGTTATTGTGGCCTGATGATGTGGACAAGGTGCTTGGACGAATACGTCCTACCACTTGCCTTTTGGACCCTTGCCCGTCTTGGTTAATAAATAATTCCAAGCACGGGATTGGGACCTGGATTTTGGAAGTGATTAACGCTTCTCTGAGGGAGGGTCGGGTGCCTGCCCCTTTAAAGGACGCGGTAGTCCGACCGGTCCTGAAGAAGGCGTCACTGGATCCAGAGATGGCCACTAATTATAGACCAGTGGCCAACATCCCATTTCTGGGCAAGGTGTTAGAGCAAGTGGTGGCAGGACAACTCCAAGCACTCTTGGATGAAACTGATTATCGCACCCATTTCAGTCTGGCTTCAGACCCGGGTACGGTACTGCATCTGCCTTGGTCGCCCTGTACGATGACCTGTGCAGGGAGAAAGACAGGGGGAGTGCGTCCCTGTTGGTTCTCCTGGACCTCTCAGTGGCTTTCGATACCATCGACCATGGTATTCTTCTGGATAGGCTTGCGGGATTGGGGGTTGGAGGCACCGCTTTGCAGTGGTTCCGCCCCTATCTCAATGGCCGGTTCCAGAAGGTGATGCTGGGGGACTATGGCTCTGCGCCATGGCAGTTATGCCATGGAGTACCGCAGGGGTCCATTTTGTCCCCGTTGCTGTTCAACATCTACATGAAACCGCTGGGAGAGGTCATTAGGAG